TCTATTTTTATTTTTGTTAAGAATTACCCTTTCCCTGAATGTATCATTGTTGTGCTTTAAAGCCAGGTAGAAATTAAGCCCTGTGGAGCTGCTCCTGTTTCCCCAACCCATCAGGAGAGAGTGACTCAAACAACCTTCCCTTAAACCCATGGAGCAGACTGGGGCATTACAGTGTGGACTTTATAGAGGTGAATAATTCTAACTGGAGCAGTAGAAAAGACCAGGCTGTCACAGCAGAACTTAACTCTCTTTGACATTAATCTCTTCATAAGAAAAAAATAATAATTAAACTGCAGAGAGCAACAACTACTCTCCTTAATTTTACTGATTGGAATGAAAGCCTGAGTGGGAAAGCAGAAACACTCAGCAGGTGAGGAGGCACGGAGATGAACTGCTTTTACCTGTTATTTTGGTGATTTTTCTGGTACTAAGAGAAGTAAGAAAAGTCTCTGCTCCCTGCTGCTGCTTTAAATCCCCTCACTCCTGAATCAAGGTGGTATAAACTACCTTTAGTGCAGCACTAACACAAGAATCAGTGTAATCAAGGTTCCTAAATGAGAAAGATGCTAATTGCTGGTCATTGGCATCCTTCAGCTGATGAGCAGCCTTACTAGCCTGAGAAATGAGAGATGTTTAATACTGCTGTGTGATCAGAACCTCTTTGTCAAATAACTGCCAGTGGAATAAAAACAAGTGAGCTGCTCCTTACACATTAAGAGGAGTTTTCCTGAGATGCATTTATTAGTCATATGGAAGATGGTGAGGAAAACAGAAGGGATCAGCCTTATCTAAAATTGATTAAGGATCCCTGGCTGTCAAGCTTTCTAAAAAGCGAGTATTTCTTGATACCACCTCTACAATTTTTTATATTAAATATATGCATATTTCTATCTATCTCGTGGTCCTTCACCAGTGGGAATTTTTATTGCAATACAACTACGAAATGTTCTCAGGAAAATAAACACAAATCACATGTGGGAGTGTGATGCAGCAATATGTGTCACAACCAGATTGTGGGTGGATTCTGACAGCTCCTCTGGCCATGCACCAGAACACCACAGAGTCCTGCTGTAGATACTCAGAGCTGCACGCTCTTCTCTGGCACTTCCTTTTCTTGCTGCTGGGGATTACCTTCGCCTCATAGATCCCTGGCTTCCTGAAGAGTTTCCTGGGCACAAAGCAGAGCAAGCACTGTGGCAGACTCCTGTCTCTTCCCCCTCATTTCTGTGACTATTACATCCAGTTCGGGATCAGTAGTAATAAAGTCAATAAATAAAGCCACTTACTTATCTGATAATTTGTGCCTGAATTGTGCTGTGATAATTAAGAACAAATAAAATGTCCCATCTGGTTATCACAAGACATACCTATCTAAACCTATAACACCTTATGGCGCCGGTGAGGAATTTTAGCTGAAGGTCTCAGACTCTGAAGGAGTTTCTGACTAGTTCTGAGCTTAGGAAACTCCAAAGCTTGGAATAACTCCAGGTTCTTTAGTACTGGTTCACATTGCTGTGGTTCCCTTGCTTTTCTCAGCTGGGCTCAGGTGAACACTGGGACTGAAATTCCTCCAGGATATCTCTGGAGGCATTGTTAGAGTGCAGTTTATGAATCTAAAACCAGCACAGGCCTTACATTTCCAGTGGCTCTGAGCAAGGGAAGAAAGCTGTATCAGTTTCTGAGCTATAAAAAGCACAGACCTTTTTCTGCTCTGCTGGATTACAGGAATCAGTAATTTCACATTTTCAACACATCACCAAAGAAAATGCCTGATCTCAGTCATGTCACCCCATGGCAGATCAAAGGCCTCAGGATCAAAGAGATTAAAGTAGCATGGGCTCTCAAAATATTATTTCCTGTTTGAGAAACACCAATTATATTACTGTAGTGATTCATGTAATGAGTTACTATCCAAATTTTTTAATAGGAAAATCAAGTCCCAGTGTAAATAAAACAAAATCTCTTTTCTGTATGTTTCTTTACAAGTATTTAATTTCTGATTTTATTGACAGATTTCTTGATGTTACCTATTTCAAAAGCCTCAACTCAAAGAGGTTTGAAGGCAAACTATTAGTGATATGGCTTTTATGTCAGTCTTGAAGCTGCCTTGCCCTTTAATGATGTGTATTTAGCATCTCACAGCCCAACCAAAAGGAGCTGATTCACGCACTGCTTTTTTTCCTCTCCTGAGGACAGGCTGTCGTGATAAGACAGGAGAGAGACTCTGGAAGTAGATCAGCTGCCTCCATGCAGTGCAGGAGGAGAGCTGCACATGTCAGGCCTGATCAGATCCCCTGGGGTTATCTCAACTCCTGTGGGATCCCAGCTCCAGGCACTCAGTGGGAATTTTCACCAAAGTAATACTGTGAGTTTGCATCAACTCTTAACTTGGCATCACATAGCTTCATCTGTAGGAGGTAACCCAGAGGTTATGCCAGTGATCCACAGTCCCAACTTTCTTTGTGGCATGAATTTGCTACCACTGACTTTAGTCCATAATTTCACTGTTTCTTGATAGGGAAAATCCCTTATCCTGTTTCACAATTCATCATGCTTAAGTGATTTCATCATCACAGAACTTCAGAACTTCTTGCACTGCGTCCTCAGGACAAGAAAGAGCTCAAGGGGCTGGAGAATGTCCAGGAAAGGGAACGGAGCTGGGGAAGGGGCTCAGCCTGGAGAAAAGGAGGCTCAGGGGGGACCTTGTGTCTCTGCACAACTCCCTGACAGGAGGGGACAGCCGGGGGTCGGGCTCTGCTGCTAGGGAACAGGGAGAGGAGGAGAGAGAATGGCCCCAAGTTGTGCAGACGAAAGTCCAGGATGGATATGAGGAAGAATTTCCTCATGGAATAAGTTGTCAAATATTGGGCTGCCCAGGGCAGTGGGAGTGTTCCCTGGAAGTGTTCCAAAGCAATTTATGACATCCCAGAAACATGGAAACTAGTTTGGAAGTTGATTTTTAATTTAAGTAATAGTTCATATAAATGAAAATTAAATAAGAACATGGTAGAAATTAAGCCCCGTGGAGGGCTTAAAACATTAACAAGTTATGTTTGTAGCTCGTTAACCAAACAAACTCAAATTAAGTCCCAAGTCCTAAGTAGTCAGGAACAAGGAAGAAAAAGTAGATGTGCTGGAGGAATACTGAGGTGATCACACAAAGGACCAGAACAAAAGAAATGTTAATTAAAATATAATGTGAAAGCCATAGAATGTTTTCATGGTGTAACAGTCTCCTGCTGCTAAATAAATACCAAGGTGAAGCCCAGGCATCCATCAAAACTGGATGCCAAGCCAAAGCCAGCATATTTTATGAAAAAAAGACATTTATCAGTGACTCTCATAAAGAGACATTACTTCTCCAGGGAAAAGAGTGCTTCAGGGCATTTATCCCGGGGTTCACAGATACTGCTGCTATTGATGGACCGCTTTTCATGATATTATTGAATTAGCTGTACAACTGTGTTAGAAATGCTTGTTGCATATATTCAAGCAGGATTAATTAACTATGCTTAGAAATTGGATTTTCACTCGCTTATTTTTCTTGCTTGCCTGAATTCAGTGATGTTCTCCCTGGGGTGAATCCTGACCTGTCAAAATCACCAACAGTTCCACTGCTGTTATGTAGGACCTGTATTTCACCTTTGCTTTCCTCATTTTGCTGCAGACCTACTAGGACGTACCGGTACCAACTGTTCATTTTATTTTACAAGGAGGATCATATTTTCCTAAGCAAAGACACCGTTAGTGCGGAATCGCCTTGAGGCCCTTGACGCCGCGTGTCCCTAACTGCCCCGACATCAGCCCAGCGGCTCGTCCTGCGACTCCGCAGTTCCCTTGACAAACGCCTTCCGAGTGCGAGGCTGTATGACGCCGCCCGTGGCGCAGATGCCGTCGGTGCCGTGCCCAAGCCGCTGCCTGCACACTCCGGCCCGGCCCCGGAGCAGCGCCGTGCCCGCGGTCCCGCTGCCGGCCCCGCCTGGGTTGCCGTGCGCCCGCCCCGCGCCGGGCGGAGCCGGGGCCGCCCCTTCCCTGCGCGGCCCGGCGGAGGCGGGGATGTGAGTACGGGCACGGGGCACCGGTCACCGGGCACCGAGGAGCGGCGGGAGGGCCCGGCCTAGGGGCAATGCCCGGCCCAGGGGCCGTGGAACCGCAGGGCCGGGCTGGGGCTGGGGCTGAGGCAGCGCCCCGAGCCCCCGCGGGCCCGGCCCGACACCGGCCCGGCCCAGTCCCGCCCCTGCGGGAGGAGCCCCACTGGGAAGCGGGGTGTCCCTGTGGGAGGGCGGTGTCCCGCCGGGAGCAGCCGGGGTCCCGAGGAATGAGCGTGGTGTGCAGGCGCTCAGGGCCGGGGCTGTCACAGCCCCTTGCCTGCGCCCCGCGTGTGTCGCGGGGAGGGCCGAGGGAAGGCGCTGGGCGGCCCTGGCTCGCTGTGGGGGTGGTGTGTAGGCACCGGGCTGCGGGCTCTGCTGAAAAACCTCCATTGTCCTCGTGTTTCGATTGGTTTGCTTCTGGCAGGGTTCGAAAGGGTATTTTTGAGCATGTTCAGCCTGGAAATAAGGGTGTTTCTGTTTGTATTGTTCGCCTGACAAAACACTGGTGTCTTGCACAGTATGTTGCAAAGCGTTTTCCAAACTTTCGACTTCGGGGAGCAGGAGAGGTCTCGGCATGACTTTGACGTGGAGTTTGGGGCAGAGCAGGCAGCCCGCAGGTGATGGAATAGGCTGAGTGTGACCGCAGAATCTCCTCTGAGCCTTGGCTTGGCCTGTTGGCCCCCGTGTGCACACGCGTGTCCACAAAGAACTGGTGTTGGTGTTTGTAAAGACAGAGTAGAGCATTGCCGGGATTGTGAATGGGTCGTGAGGCAGCTGGGAGCTGGCTGTGCTGTTGTTTCCTGGTGTTGGGAAAATACAGTAATTTGGAGGGAGGGGGCGGGGGGGCTAAGGGAAGTATCGGTTAAGGGTTGCAGGTGTGACATCTGGAGTTAAGAGCATGTCCTTTGGCCCTATGCTGTGTAAATAAAAACCTAAGGCTTATTAGTTTGCTCAGATGGTCACCAAATAGTTCCTTGTGTTCTAGAAAAAGAGCCTAGAAATCTTTCTAAGCTTGTGTTGTTAGAAGCATCGTGGTTTGTGTTTTGATTCTAAATTTAAAATAGAAGTCTAGTTGTGCAGGAATTGAAGGTTATGTTGTGTGCAAACTGGGTGCACCTTTGAAGGTGCTGATTGGTGCACTTGGAAAGACAAGGGGAGAGAACCAAATGTTTCCATTTTTCTTTTGGCAATACCATCTTTAAGAATTAGAAAGTCGGTATTAGTGAGGACTAATCTGTGATTTGGGCCTTCAGTGTAAAACTGGTGAATGGTTTCTGAAGTGGTGACTGGTGTGTGTTTGCTTGCCAAGGCCTCACAGGACGGAGCTGTACGAGGCCCCCCCGTCGGGGTGCTGGCCCATCGTGTATTCCCCAGACTACAACATCACCTTCATGGGACTTGAGAAGCTGCATCCCTTTGATGCGGGGAAATGGGGGAAAGTCATCAATTTCTTGAAAGGTAAAATAACAGAAGGTGCCTCTTACACTAACATTTGCACAAAACCTAAAGAAAATTATGTGGTTACACTTACTAGACCTGAATTGCAGCATGTGGCTTCCTACAGCCATGTGCTACCCTGGCTTTACACCTGGCTAGCAGGAACTGGGGCATTGCTGTGGCTGGTGAAACACCAGGTGTTAATGATGGTTTGCTGCAGGTGAAGCTCAGTTACTCAGCCTGGACTGTGCACAGGGCTCCTCAGGCTGAGGGAGAAGTGCAGCTGTGGCACTTCAGTCCATTCTTTAGCAGCCTCATCCTATTGCTCTGATGAAGTTTGGAAAAAGCTTTGAGGCCCCTCTGGTACAGGCAGAGCTTTTTATGATGCTTCTAATTATTGCTGTTTAAACCATTTGGAGGATGCAGGTAGAAATGCATTAAGGAGATGCAAATATAAGAACCAGGGCCAGGATCAGGGCTGTGAAATCTTGGCATTTCTAAATTTAAAGCACAAACTTGCTCATCAAGGATAAAAAAAAAAGAGACATTTTCCTTCGCCAGAACCAAGGCTTCTTGTCTTTAATGTGGTCCTAATGACTCCTTCAGCTGATGGTCCTTTGCAGTGCAGGATTGCCCTTCACACTGCAGGCTGACTTGTAATTCTTTTAACTGAGGTCAAATAATTTTAACACTCTAACAACTTAGTAGCTGAGTTTTGGCTTTTTCTCTAACAGCCTTCAATAATTTAGTCTATGGTTCCAGGACAGTTTTCTTAATTAATCAGAACCTTTGCCTTTCTGTTTCTTCTGTGTAAAGTCTTTTCCTCCAGCTCTTTTCTGTGTGACATGTCAATTCTGAAGTGTCTCAGTCTTTCACAGAAAATTCGTTTTCCCAACTGTTTTTACTGTCCTCGCTTTGAAAGGAAGAAGAAGCCCCAAGATAGCCCAGAGCACTTGGTTTGCTCTGGCTCTGTAGCAATTCCTGGCAACAGCTGACCTCCTCTGTGCCTTATCACTGAGCAGATCAGCAGTGGACATCTTTGCAGAGCACCTTCCTCCTGGAGAAGGAAGCTGGTAGCAGTTTGGCTCTGTTTCACACCAGTGCATGAATGAATTGTTCCTCAAGCCTCAGTCAGGAGAAACAGAAGCTTGCCAAAGCAAATGTTGTTGCAGGTGCTGTTCTTATATAACACTTTAGAGCAAAATCTCTCACATTTCCGAGTTTTTTTTCTCCTCCAAGTATAAAATGAAAGAAGAGATACAGGCTTAGAAGGCTACAGCTGTGCAGCGATTAAATATCAAAATTTGCCTAGGAAGATTAGCAGGATTCCTTGTAATTGTTGTTTGTAGTGATCATATGCACTCATTCTGAATTCTTGGAATACCTTGCTCTTATAAAATAAAGTTCTGAAATAATCTTTTGGTCTTTAAGGGAAAGAATTAATCACTCCTCATTGTTTTTTCTTGAAATTAGATTGAGGTCGGGGGTGATAGAAATATCCTAATTAAGCTTATTTGCTTCCATGAACATCCAAGTCATTACTTGGTTTTGGATTTTGATTTGCTACTTTATTCTTCTGTGATTTAGGGGATTAAATCCTGGTATAAACTGTGGGATTTCTTGAAGCATGTTAAAATAATGGTGATGGTACAAGCGCCAGGATTTCTCCAGTGCACCAAGCCCTAAACTGTGAGGAGTTGTGCGATTCCAGTGTGTGTTCATCCTCTGTCATTACCTGTCTGTCTTTTCAGTTCAGAGAAGAACTTCCCATGATCTTAGCTCACTCTGAAAACTTTCTGTACACAGTATTTTTCAAATATACACCACCTGAACAGCTTACCTGGGACAGAGGGGGTGTATTTGGAAACCTTGCAAACTCTGAGCAACCTAAAGTCGTTGCAGCAATAAACATGACAGAGGAAGTTACCACAGCGAGGCCAGAGCAGAATGTTTGTTTGGAGGGGGGACGTGGGGAGCTCAGCACTGCTGTACAATGCCAATTGTTATTTCTCTTCTGTTGCAGAAGAAAAACTAATTGCAGATGACTTGATTGTGCAGGCACGGGAGGCGACTGATGAAGATCTCCTGGTTGTTCACACCAGGCGCTACCTTAATAAATTAAAGGTGCTGTACCTGTTCATGTGTTTGTCCAGCAAACTGACCAGAAGCAGTGCATGTCTTGTGTTGTTTTAAATCTGCCTTATAGATATGGAATGGTGTCTGTTGATCACACTGTTAACATTGTTACAGAGAGTACTGAAAGAAAACCACAGAAATACTGGGCAGTTCACGCTAGGGAAGATTGGAGGGGAAAGAGGGACTACCATATTAAATAGGTGGCCTGAAAGGATATTTCAGGCCAATTAAGCATGGGGAAAATTAGAATATCTGAGATGTCAGTAATATTCTTGATAGTGCAAGGGTTTTAGTGTTGAGCAGCGTAAGTTTTGTTGTACTCTGGTAAAATACAGTTCTGAAATTGAAAATGCAATAGAAACCACTAACATGAATGTTGAATGTGGAACATGAATGTTTTCTAATGCAGGGATTGCTTTAGGGGGGTTGGGGTTATGTAATCTTGGCAGAGCATCTGTGTAGGGGTTCTTTGGTCAGTCTGTGGGAGGCAAGTACTGGCTTCGTACTCAGACACTGCCTGTGTCAGTGGAACATGGAGAGAGTTGAAGGATCAGTGTAAGGGCATCAGCAAGCACGTTATCTGTTGTGAAGGTTTCCAGAGGCAGCTCACACAGAACTGCAGGGGGGTGAAGAACATTGCTTGTGTATTTCTAAAGGAAACATCCCTTTGTTTAACTTCAGTGTAACTCTAAAACATCAACATGTGAGATTTCTGGTTCTGAATCTCTCCAATCATCTGTGGATAGAATTGGGTAGTAGATGAGTGCAGGTGACATTACTTTGACTTTGCAATTCTGCTTGGAGGGCATGGATGAGAGAATGGATTTGTAAGAGGAAAGAAATCTTCCATTTCATAGTTCAAAAGAAGTTATTTTGAGTCACTTGTGCCCTTCCACAGTGGGAGAGTCCTTGGATTGCTATTTCTGGAATGTTTTATTTTTCTGTATAAGTGATCTTTATTTGTGTGAACTTTTTCACTCTTAACTGCTTTTCTGAGTTCTCTTATGCTCTTCATTCTGTGCTAAGAAGTTACATGCAATTTCATGCATCATTAAGATTTGATGTTATTGCAGCTATTCTTGATATTGAACTTTTAATTCCATGGAACCACCCACCTCTTTTTACTGAATCACTTCTTTGAAGCAGGGTTTAATGTGCATAGCTGAGATTGGAATGCCATCATAATATTTTTAGTACCTATGGGATGGCTTCACAGGGAATTGTCGGTATAACTTGTGTCTTGTGGTCAAGACCAGCACTGGTGTGTGTATCCAGATGGGATTAACTGGGTGTCTCCTCTCCCCCTTTTCTTGAGAGAATATTTCCTGCAAGTGTAGGAACTGGAAGATGTTGTATTGGTTATGGCAGCAGATTCCTACCAAGCAGCAAAGATCAAAGTGCTTAGTTCCAAAAGCAAAATAATGTCCTAGAGGTGCAAAAGCCCTGTGAAAACTCTTTATTGCCTTATCCAAAGTCTACTGTGCTATTTTTCTTTTAAATCCAGACAAATACATATGAATGGTATAGTTTTATCTTAGATCAGCTGGAAAGACTACAGAGTTGCTTGCTTTTTTCAGAATGCTCAGATCTCCTAAAAGAATGGATCACTTGAGTGTTCATTTAAAATCTTAGCGTGAATTTGGTAGGAAATTGCCTATACTTGCAGAAGTAGGTGTGATTGGTGTCTTAGCAGCAGCTGGAAGGCCAGCTGAATGTTAGGTGAAGGGAGACAAAAAGGTGTGCACAAGGTCCTTCTGCTACTGGAAATCAGGTCTGTGCTGGCAGGAAGGGTCTCCCTGTTTCCCTGCTCAGTCTTTAAAACAAAGTTTGGCCCTCTGAATTGAGGTGATTCCCCCTCAGTTATTCCTCCGAAGAATTTAGATCTCCGAGGTAATGACTGGACTGTGGGTAGTTTGCTTGCAGTACTTTTCCACTTGCTGTCTTTTTCTAGTGTTACGTAAAATAATGAATTTCTTGCGTGTCAGCGTTCTGAACTTTGGCAAGGAGGTAGGCAATGAGGTTAGAGCCAGCTTCAGACTGTGCCTTTCCCTTTTTATTTATGAGAAGTTCTGTGGTAACATACATGAGCAAACACTGAAATGCAAATGCTGAAGATAAAGCTGGTTTGGGAATTTATTGTGGGAAACTCTGGAAAACAAAACCAGCACACTGAAGAAAAAAGCATAAAACATTCCAGAGATTTGCAGTTACCAAGTGGAGGAACATTGTCCTTCACCTGTAGCTGCCTTCCTGACCCCCAGACTTTGCTCCCAGTTGGTGACTTCCCCCATCTGTTGGGAATTACTAATCCCAGTTCAGGCCCGGATGTGGGCAGTGTGTGGCAGCAGGAATGGTCCCAGCTGTGACCAGCGAGCCTGGGAGCCAAAACTGCCACCACACCTGGACTTCTCACCTCCACTCAAAACCTTGCAGCTGCAGAATTACTGCTTTGAGTCATGATTGCTCCCACTTCTCCCTTTTGACATTCTTTTACTTTAAACTTCGTTAAAACTTCCTGTGTGATGATCCTTCACATTTGAGATCAAATTTATTTTTTTATCCAAATGTGACCTTTTAATTTCCATTTTAGAACAACAGAATTGAATATAGTTTTTAATAATGTATTTGTTCAAAAGGTAAAATGTCTTGCAAAGGGCCTTTATCAAGATTGACTGTACTAAAAAATAATTAAAGCACCTTGTGATGGACAGCTGATAAGATGGTAACAGAATAATGTCTTGCAAATATAAAAGCAGAGAGATTTTGAAATTAACTGTTGGCAAAATATCGTTAGGCGCTTCATGAACAATGCCACTCCTTCATCTACCCAGTAATACCTGGTAATTGAAATATTGCTAACTGGGAAGTTATTTTGAGCATCAGAGGATCCTGAAATGTGATGTGATTGCCTTTGTCTCAAATTGCCCACCTGTACATCCTGGCAGCTGTGAGCAGCTCAGGAATGGGGCAGCCAATGCCCTCAGTCTCGTCACAGTTCCTTATGTTGCATAAAACAGGATCTGTTCAGACTCTTTGTGCATGGTGGCAAGTTGTAATCCTCAGTCCCTCAGTGTTTCAGTACTGGTTGGACAGGTGTATTCTTGCTTGTGACTAAGGCTTTGAAATATATTTAGCAACGTTATCACTGGTAGCAGTGTTAGTGGAAATGCTTTGAAGTAATCCGTGTGTTTGCAAAAAGAAGCATTTGCATATTGCAAATATTTTGTGTTCTAACCTTGAGGATTTTTGAACAAAATTTTTGCTTGAAACATTTTCTAGAAGTGTTTAATATGCTAAATAAATTTTAATCAGTTTTCTCTGCTAAAGTTTGCACTATGTGCTCACTTAAGTGTTTGAACTTCTTAGTTCAGTTGTTTGTTTTTGTTTGCTTTCTCCTTGGTATATCCTTTTGATTCCACACAGGAATAGATATTTTAGCTTTGAACAATATATCAAGTGTAGCTGAAGGACATTTTCCATTTCTTCTTCCCAATCTGAGGGATATTATATTTTCTGAAATACTACCTTCCTGAAAAATTGCTGATTTAATACAGTTTGATAGTAAAATCTGGGAAGTGATGATTCTCATAGTTAGAAACTTGAACATGAACCCATTTGGAGGTCATTAATAAAAACTAGTGTGGTCACTTCGATCTAAAAATATTTTAAATCTTCCTAAGGAGCAGTGAGCACCTTTTTAGGAAATAACAACCAATGGGAGAGCTAAGTGTCATCATTAAACCAGGCTACATTAATTGGAACTCTCTTTTTCCCCATTGTAGTGGTCATTTGTTGTGGCTACAATCACTGAAATTCCACCAGTTGCCTTTCTTCCCAATTTTGTTGTTCAGAGAAAAGTTCTGAAACCTCTACGAACCCAGACAGGAGGAACAATAATGGTAAGGTGCTCTTGATGCACTTTTATCATATTTAAATTTGTTCATCAAAAGCTGTAAACTTGGGAGTTGTGGTGTTTGTGTAACTGAGATTGTCAGCCTTGGACAGTGCTGCCGTGCCAGATACAGGAACAGGGTTTATTGCAGCTCCGAGAAAGAGAAAGAAATACGAAAGTTAAAGCAGTTTTTTAAGGGGCTATTTAAGGATTTGAATTCTGAAAGGACCTGCTGGCTTCTGGATAAGTCTTTAGATGTATTGGATTATGGTGATAGGCCAGGTAACAAAAGTGCTGCCTCCTTTAGCAGGCGTGAACTGGCAAAAGCAGAGATGGGGAGGAGGAGAGAGAAAGAATTTCATCTAGTTCAAGGTGCTTAAAAATATTTGGTTGTCACTCAGAGGAAGTCCTGCTGAGCAGGGACCTGCAGAATTTCCTCTCATTACATCCATGCTGTCACTGCAAGATTGGCACAGGAATGAAGGGAATGGTCTGAGAGAGAGGAGCGTGGGAAGAGTTTAGAGCTTCCCGATGCTCTGCCTTGGATATTTCTTGACAGGAGCTCAGTGTGTGTGAAGCCTCTTTCAGCTTGGCTCCAGCTAGGCAATACTTTTCTCTAGCTGGGTGATGTTTTTCACTCTGCTTGTGTTACCTTTAACTCCCAGGTGTGTGTTCACCAGTTAGAAATGTGCTGGAGGAGGAGCCACCAATGACCTGGTTTTTCTGATGGCCCCTGAAACACAGATGCCACTCCTGGGCACTTTGGGATTCATCTTGAGGCCATGTGCTGTTATTTTAACTTTTTTTTTTTTTCATTATGGGAAAATAAGTATGTGCTTCCAAAGCAATTTTGATTCATCAGACAATAAAATTTGTACAGTACAAGTTAGAAGTGCAATTTTCTGCTATTCTTGATGGGCCTGTCTATTACAAAATTTCCTGTTGAGCTTCTCTACTTTTTAGTGATATTTTAGCAATATGGGAAGATTGAGTTTTGGTGAGGAATCCCTAGGAAGTGTGATAAATTGCAGATAATGTGTTCTCCCTGGGACTTAATGGGTTTTATAGTTCAGAAACTGCAATCTTTCCCCAAGATCTAATTTGTATAAGTTGCCATGATCATAGCAGGATCATGCTTATAATGCCAATAGTTGTCCTAGTACTGAATTAAAACCGTTCAAATGTAAATATTGGTTATAAGGACTTCATAACTGCCCAAACTTCATTTTGGATATGATGTGTAATTTTTTCTTTCCATGACTATGGACAAAAATAATCAATTTTTAAATTATTTTTCTCCACACTTCCTTTTTTTTTTTTTCACTTGTAACTAGTAGTATCTTAATGTAATATTACTTTTATCAGACCAGTTACGGAATGCTGTACTTAAACACTTTGACTCTTCCTGGCTGAACTAATCAAGATTTTCAGTTAAAATTCCATCATTTAAGTCTTGTGTATCTCTTCTCTGTCAATACTTTTCCTTCCCTGAATGTCATTTGAGTTCAAAGGAGAGATACAGGCCCAGTTTTCCTGTACTGGAAGGGAAAAGATCAATAATATTCTATACTCTGCATGTTCTATCATATAGAAAGTAAAAGAAATGCCAGAACGCTTCACACTGGAGCACTTGTCTGGTCCCAAACCCAGCTGGAACGATGTTGGTTTTTTTTTTTTTTTTTTGTCTGTGTTCTGGGATTTTGAGCTTACATTCCTCTATTTGTGCATGGACAGGAGGGACATCAGGAGCTTCTTCCTCATGTTTTACTCTTCCCAGCACTGTACTTTCCCTTTTCCAGCTGCCGGAGAAGGAAACACAGTTGGCATAGCAAATACTCTTTCAGGTCCTTAAGTCGAGGGTAGTTTTGTTAAGGGTTGTACTCAGGGACCTGCTTCAGTGGCAAAAGATCTGAAAATTCCACGGACATGTTGGAATGCCAGGAGTGATTTGGGGTGGAAGCAGGCATTAAGTGTTGCCTCATTCATTTTTGGAATTCCAACTGTAATTTTTTTTTTTTTTTTTAAGGCAGGGAAACTTGCTGTGGATAGAGGCTGGGCCATCAACGTGGGTGAGTACAAATTCAGTGATACCCTAAACAGTGTGTTAAAAGCATCTGATTTTCATTGATGTTTCTTTGCAAAGCCCATGAATGTTGATAGTATCTGGCTTTTGTTTAGTATGTAGCTTTTCACTCCTTCACCATTTTCCTGTTCAGGAGGTGGTTTCCATCACTGCTCCAGTGATAAAGGGGGAGGATTTTGTGCATATGCTGACATCACACTGGCCATCAAGGTAAGAATGCTCTTAAGCCACTGTTTTCTGCTGCTTGTGCAAATGGAGGAGAAATCCAGATAAATTCCTAAGAACTAATGTACATCTTAGTAGGAGAAAATGAAGCCGTTTCCAGATGGGCAGGAATAGTGATATGAAGAGTTGTAAAGTGGAAGGGAAGAGTTGCATTATTATCAATGCAAAGAGTTGCAGAATTATCAATGTAAATAGGCACCACTGTAATTGCATTGATAATGTTGTCTTGCAAAAACCACTGCAGATCAAACCAGGTGGATTTCTAATATCCTGAGGGATAATGCTCCTGGCCTTGCAGGTGAACCTGGACATTCCACATTGATTTCAGTACTTACAGTCGAGACAAATACAGAGACAAAAATCCCCTCTCTGACTCAAGCTGCACTGTACAGGGCTCAGACTGGTTCACATTCATGAATAAAAATATGAGTGACTCCAAAATAGTCACCAAATGGGAATGAATTCATTTTGTATTTAGCTGTTGAATGGCTGAAGTAAGAGCCTTGTGCAATTAGGATTTATTTTTATCAAATGAGCTATGGTGTATTTGTATACTAGAGTATTTAAAAAGTATCAGTAATAATCAAACATTAAAGAGCTCTAATGATTGCAGCACACCATATGACATAACATCCTAATTTCTGTACATGGTAATTTGCAGAAAAGTAATCCAGTGTTATTTTTTCACCTACCATTAAAACACAAATTGAGAAATTGCAGTAGGTGACAGTTTGTACCAAATCTTTGGGTTTTACCAAATGTCTGTATTAAAGATGGGAACTTAGCAAAGTTAAGACTCAAAGAAGAAAAACACATATTTTTCTTCCCAGACAGAATAAGAAATGAATTTTGTCACTAGAAATGGCTCCAAGGCATGCAGTCCTTACACCAGCTTTTCCTAAACACTGAATTTTAGGCTGTTGCAGTTGGTTGTTGTCACTGGTTCCACTCCAGCCTGTAGCAGCACCAATGCCACCATTAGCTCTGTGATCCCTGGGTGGGCCTGGCCTCTCTCTTTTATCTGGTGGAAATACATAGGGTTTTTACTTTTACAAAAATTATCCTTTTATGTCAAATAATGGTGTTTTTCTTGAATGTATGAGAATTGTGTCTCAGTTTATTTGGTGACTGAAACAGATGTGCCCTACATTCAAATTCCAACAGCCATGCCCTTTGCAATCTTTGACCCTCCAGTTCAATCTGTCACCTAACTTCATCAATTTCTATTTTTTTCCTTGCTTATATATCCAGTTCCTATTTGAGAGAGTACAAGGAGTGTCTAGAGCCACAATTATTGATCTGGATGCCCATCAGGTGAGTAGTTTACCTGTATTCAGTGCTGCAGATGTTTTGCTTGAAACACAAGTGTGTGATAAATACCTTTTTAAATACAAACATAAACTCAGAGAATACAAAGTCAATCAGAGATGATGAAAACTGTGAAGAGTTGATTCTTCAATTATGTTATGGTCCAAAAGGCTCTTAAGCCAGTCTAGTAAGATTAACCTGAGTTGCAGCTCCATCATGTGGCTGCATGTAAAAATCTTGCTGCGATGCACTGCTGGTCTCCAGGGCTGAGAAACAAGGATCTCTCCAGACACAATCCCAGCTAGTTCCGAGCGCCTGCTCACTGCAGCAGCCTATGCAGGGGAGGGATTTCACCTTCAGTGGTTTAATTTTAAACCTAGCTTCAGGCCAATGAAGTCAAGGATCCATCTCTCTTCACCTGGTGAAGTGATTTACTGTTGTAGTGAGATCAAATCTCCGCTTTGGTGGGCTTTGCAAAATAAATCATGAAAGGATGAAAATGGTACTTTTAGAAAAGCAGTTAATTCACCAAATTGATGTCCAAAGTGAGGCATTTCAGGTGATTTATTATGTGTAAAGAAACCATTTTGCACACTTCCATGGCACTGAGGAAGCCTAATGGCTGCAAGTTTTTAATCTTCTCTCATTTCTCTTATGTGTCCTAAAATCACCATGATAACAGGACACAGATTATGCAGGAGAAAGATGTTTTGTGTTCGTGGTTCTCTTCAGCCTCTCTGTCAGCCTGTGGATTTGTTTTGTGCTGTATGGAGATGGTTTGGTTTTGAAAAATTCTTGGAACGTGTTCTGGTTTTCAGATGTGCTGGTAGTCTCAGTGTGCACATTGAAACACCTGTTGTTTCCTTTCTTTGGGGGATGAGAGGTGTCTGAAGTAGCTCAGCAGATGCTGTTTAAGGATGCAGATATTCTCATCTTGTGACTGTTCCAATTCTTAGTGCAGTGGTGAGTTTCACCTGTCGTAAGGAAATGGTTCCCCCAGTGGCATCCATATTCCTAGGCTTGTATGTGTGAACTTTTATTTGTGGACCAAAGATGATGAAGAAATAAGTAGAGTTGCCATTTGTCAGCATAAAAACTGAATTACAACGGATATAGCTAGGGAAATGTCTGTTTCTGTAGTTCAAGTGAAATTCTGGGTATAGGGTCTGTGGTCCTGTATGATACACTGATTTAAACAAAATTATCTTAGTGATTTCTGTGGTAAAATGGTTTCTATATTAGTGAAAATAAGTGAGAGCTATAAAAATAGTATTTAAATTCAGAAATGGGGAGGGGAAACTATTCCAAATCCGAGACTTCCCTCAAGCATCCCTCTTTACACCCAGTACAATTTTTTGTAGGGAATTTTTGATGTTAAACTGTTGGGTTGTTAGTGCTTGTAATTTTTCCATGGAATACTTACCTCACCAAGGCTTGAGTTAGCAGGAGAGCTGTAGTCTGCTTTATTTATTCATTAATTCTTGCATAAGAATACTCAGTATTCCTGCAGCAGTTGAAAGTGACTTTTTCTTCCACAGTTGGAAGATGATTGATCTGTTTGGTGGTCACAGTTGTGATGCTCTTGAGGACAATTAGCTTCTCATATTTGTTTATTTTTCTTACATGTGTAATGAGATCCATGCAAATTACCTTCAGAGAGACAAGGATTTTATTTGTGGTGATACCTGCAGTCTTCAGACTGATACTGTCAAGCCCCCCAAAACTCCACACCTCAGAATAACCTCCAGGACTATGAATGACACAGGAGTTTTGAATATTAGAACTTTTGTAGAGTTAATTACTCTAGCATTTGCAGTGTATTTAATTCTGTGTTGGCATGCTAGGAATAGCTAACTGTAAATTTCCTTCAGGGAAATGGCCATGAGAGGGACTTTATGGATGATCCTCGGGTTTATATTATGGATGCATACAATAGATATATTTACCCAGGGGATGGTTTTGCTAAACGTGAGTATAATTGAAATTCACCTTCCCAAATGTACCAAACCCTACTGTGTTGTTACTTGAGTTCTTTATTTACTACTAAGCTTCCTTGCAACACTGTTACCTAGATTTCTTTTTTTTGTTATTTTTAATTTCCCATCATTTTCACTGCTCACTCTGGTATACCTCAATAGTGTTCATGCTGTGATGTTTTCCCTCACTTGAGGAATGATTTCTGGAGTGCAGGGTGTGGGGAGGTGTCAGTGGATTTTGTTAGCAGTCCACTCCAAAGCTCAGAGCAGCGAGTGTAATAATCCTTTGGTGAAGGGAATTGTTAGAACTTCATCTTTCCCTTACATTACATTTATGAGAGAACTCACTGAGGATTAGCTGATACTGAGTAAAAAGGTTTCACTCATGAGAGTGAAGTTATAACATATTCAGGTATTGCCTTGCCAGTAGAACTTGTTTGATAAGCATGAAGGAAACAATCTGCATCTGAATGTGACACAAGGTGGGAAGCAAAGCAAGGCCTGGAACAGAACCATAGAATTGAAGGTTGGAAAGTCTCTGTGAGGCTGAGTCCAACCATTCCTCCAGCACTGCCACCACTGACTAGTGTCCCCAAATGCCACATGCACACTGTTAAATCCCTCCAGGGATGGGGACTTTCCCCTTCCTTGTCATCCCCACATTAAGAGCTGGTGCTTGGCTTGATTTGGTTGTGGTTTGTTTATCCTGCTGTGATGTGTCTGTTGTGTCTTGTGACCTGCCACAATTAATTAGTGGGGCTTTGATAATGGTTCAATTGGAATGCCAAAGCCCCAAGTTTATTTGGTCTTTGATTCTCTTACACTGTCATTTATTACAGGCTTAATTTGTTCACTGAGTCAGGGGTTGCTGTGGCAGTTGTTCTGCTCTTGGATTCATTCAGTGATGCTGGCGTTCTGAAAAACCTACTTCATTTGGATTCTTGACAAGAGTTAGGTGCAGTGCATTGCACTGCTGTCTTTTGACTAGTGAAGATACTAAGAGTTGTAGTATTTTGAGGTTTTAAGCTAAAAAATCACCATTTAAAGCACATTGTGTCTGGAGGCAGACAAATTGCAGGCAAATGTGGAGGTTTTTCCCCCAAGAAAAGCATTTCTTTATCCATATATCACATGGCAACATTTGGACAGATGGATTAAGACCAAAACAGAGTCAGTCCTTGTTAGCAAGTCTGAAGCACTGAGCTGCAGTAGCACACTGAATACCAGCATTCCCTCTCTGCAGATGGAGGGTGAGGTGCACAGGGCTGGGCCAGAGCCACGTGAATATGTAGTTCCTTGCAGTTTGCATAAGAATATCTAAATAGGATTTTTGTGGCTAAATCCCTTAAACCCTTTCCAATAGGTGACCAGGCAGAGATGAGATCACAGGGGGAATCTCTTTGGAGAGGGGCAGAGGCTTGAACACGATATTTTGAATCCTAAGGGTAAACTCCAACTGATCACTGTCCCCTTGGACCTCCTGCCCGTTTTTTCCATACTTTGTTGCAGGAACCTCTGACGCATTTTTTGCCCCGTGCATTTCATTAGGGAAGGCAGAAAAGGGAGCAGCTCACCTTGCCAATGCTAAGCCATAGACATATTGAGTCCCTGGGAGAAGCAGTGTGGAACTACACGGCTTAGGAGGAGAAAGGAGGAATGAGGAATAGGGCTAGTTCACTGAAGGGTAAGCAGGAAAGGCTGAAGCTCTGAGAAAGCATAAAGAAACAAAAATCTTTGAAACGAATGTTGATGCAATATAAAATAACAGGATGAAAAAGAAAAGCTTCTCTGATGCTGAACAAAGATGGAAAGTAGAACAAAAGGCAGCAATCATAAGAGTTATTAAGTGTCATCCTGTGTTGAGTGCATTCTTGCACACTTGGTGGGGGCTGAATCCATACTTGAGATGTGAGGCTCCTCATCATTTAGTGTGAGGCAGAAGTCATGCCTTGGCTGGCATGGCTTTGATTAATTCAGAGGTAGAGTCACACATTTCCCCATAAAGGCACCCTAAACTGGGCTGCACAACCTTGGATTCTTTCCTTTACCTTCTCAGCCTTCATTTTCTACTTCTATTGCTTTATTAGAAGCATTAGAAATAATTTGATTTAAATTAAGAATTTATATTTGCTCTTCTGGTAGGATTACAGGGAAAGAACATTAAATTGAAAATGCTTGGGGCAAAGCTGAATCTTGTTATACATTCATAAAGCAGTTCACAGAAATTCATGATCCCTTGCTGTGAAGTTTTGAGTGTTGTGATAAAAATAAAACATCTTCGTAGTTTCTCAGTGGTATTTATCTTGTTTTTCCCCGAGCTGTTTCCTCTACAATAGCAGTTCAGTGTTTTCTTTGCCTTATGCTTTATTTAGGTTACTTTTAAGTGAATAATTTTCTTTATGATTTCTCTGCTGGTTGGTAACTGGACTTGCAGATCAGCTGTTTTTCAATAACATTTTCCATTTGCATCTCAGATTATTTTTTTTGCTCTGCATCTAATTTTTTCTCTTCAATGGAATTTTTTCAAGGTCACTGTTCTTTACATTTGCTGAGAAAACAAGCAGTTGAATAATTTTCTTTAATTCATGTTTCTGTGAAAATGCAATATATTGAGACAGCTTCCAGAAATGTAAACTTTTTTGCTTGCTTACCTAAATTGTGCATTTTCTTTCAAAGCAATGCTTTGTTTATTGAGCAGTGCTTGCTTCTTTGTCCCTCAGGTGCCATAAAACGCAAAGTGGAACTGGAGTGGGGCACGGAGGACACTGAGTACCTGCAGAAGGTGCACACCCACGTGGAAGGAGCCCTGAATGAATTCAAGCCTGACATCGTTGTTTACAATGCTGGCACTGACATTCTGGATGGGGATCCCCTGGGAGGCCTGGCCATTTCCCCCCAGGTGTGTGAGCCTGGGGCAGCACAGCCTCCGGGGCTGTAGGGAAGGGCACTGCCCTGGGCACAGCACTGTCCTGCCACAGGCACACACATCCATCTCCCCTGCCTCCTCACCCTTCTCCTCCTTCTGCTCTCTCCCTGACTCTGAATATTTTTGTTCTCCTGGTGCCTCTTCCAGTATCATTCATCTTCTCTCTAAAACACACTGGTTACCAGCACCCAAACAGTAGTAACCAGAGAGATATGTATATTTTCACACTTCACCTGACTTCTGTTTTCCCTGCTTGGCTTGTTCTATCTTAGTTTCTTTTTTCCCCTTACACGACCCATTTTGTAAAGTATTTCTTTTGTCTCCTGCGCACACTGTATCTTACACTTAATTTCTTCTGTAGCACTCCCAGCTGTTTCAAACTACCCTCGTGGCTATAACAATTTTGTGCAGCCTGGCTGTGTATTCTTAGCAAATGAACAGTTGTTTTCCTTTTCTTGATCCTTTTCTTTAGATAGCATTTACTTTCCCCGGTTTGGTACCAGACTCAAATTTTGGGTTCTTCTGTAAAGCTTCATAGAAGTCTTCACCTTTCTGCTTTTCTAAAAAAGAAACAAAAAATTTACAGTCCTCTTACTTCCTTCATGGGTTTTAGTGATTCCTTTTCTGACAGTTCCTCTGTGCTGTCTCTCTCCCGTTTCACATTTAGGTCTCTTTAATGGGCACCAAATCAATACAAAAAAATACTTATTAGATCTGTGACCTCTCAGATTCCCCTCTTTGAGCCACCACTTGATCTGTTCTGTTTTAATTCTGTTCAGTTGTCTTGCATGAAGCAAGAGCTGAGGGGCTTGAACTTGGTTGTGACCTTGGAGAGGAGATGGCCTGTGGTTTGAGGTGGGATTTGGTGAAGCAGAGCCCTCTGGAGAGCAGTGGCCACCAAGGGAAGTGGCAGCTTGGTCCTAGGGAGATACTTTGAGATTTGCCTTAAAAAATAATCCAAATTTCTGCACTTTGAGAAGGAGCAGTAACTGCCGAGAAAAATGAATTGCTGTAGCTTGCTGGATTCTGTGCAAACAGAGAATGTGAGGCTGGGGGAAGAAAGGTGAAGCAGCTTCCCTGGCCATGAGGAGAGGGGAGAGGCATTGTCTGCGCAGCTGGAGGGAGCTCAGGTCTTCAGTGTCTGCTCTGAGGGCAGGCTTCTTGTCTCTGGTGTGCAGGTTTGAAATCCCAGTGCTGCAAAGGCATTGTGCCTGCACAGTCCCCCTCTTCCAAGGTCCTTAGTCCAGGCTTCAGTCCTGCTCCTGAAGATGTCGTTGTATTTCAAGCTCTTGCTGCAGTGTTAGTTGTGCTCAGAATGAGGCTCCTCAGAGTGCTCTGAGTGATGGTTTCTGGTTCTTGAGGTTGTAGAAAAGCCTATGGTGCATCAGCTGAGTCCCTCTTCCCTTTGTTTGAAAGTGGGAGCTGTGCCAGGCTGTTGTTTTCCACAGAAATGTGGGAATAAGCCCATGTTTTCCCCTCAGTTCCTCCAGGCTCACCCTGGAGCTGCTGGAGCAGTGAGGCTCCTGTGAGCAGAGCTTGCTTCCACTCTGGTGTGGGGTAATAGTGATGCATCCACTGCTGGCTCCCCAGTGCCCCACAGCTTCTAATAGAATTCTTCAGTTTCCGTTGTCTTACTGTTCATTTGTTGTTCCTCGTTCTTTCACAGGGCTGTGTCAGATTGTGCAGTGCACAATAGTCTTGAATGGTTTTACAAGATACTTTTTTTCTGCTACATTTGTTTTTTATTCTTTCCATTTACCATCTGTTTGTGGTCTAATTAATGGCAGGGTGTTATTTCTTGATGTACTTCCACTCTTCCTGTGACCAGCCTGAGCAGTGCGTGTTCATTTGGAAACACTTCTGCTGCTCCTTGCTGAACTTTTTAATTTGTATTTGATTGCATTGTGATGCCTTTTCCCTTCTCCAACTTTGCAGTTATTTCTGTTTTGAGCTGTCCATTGTAAGCTGTTGTCAGTTGTGTTGCAAGTTCTTTGGGTCTTCGGGAGTTTTTTTGGGGAGTTGTAATGAGTCACACGTATCTGGAACTCTGCTTTTACAAAAGTAAATTTTAAAATTGTTCTCACTCATTCCTGAAGTATTTTTCCCCCTCATGTGCTTATTTGAAAGCCAGAAGACTCGCACTCTGCTCTGGCCTGGGTTCAGTGACAGTACAGCACCTCTTGGTCAGCAGTCTTTGTTATTTTGCAGTTCCATGCCTTTGTCTTAGTAAGAAATTACTTAGAATTTATTTCCTTTTTATGGATTTACCATTGCTTACGTTCTGCCACTTCCCCTTGAGCCATGGATTCTTCTTGTATTAACCACAGGCTCTTAGTACAGAAACTGAAACTTAGGATTCAGCCAGTAATTGTGAACGTGTAAAATTTGATTTGAATTTTGGGTTCTTCTGTAGGATTGTGAAATTTTGATCAAGTTACTAAACTTTTGTCAGAGGGTGCTCTGCAACCTAAGCACAAACAAAAGCATTGTGAATCCATAGAGTTTTTCCTAGTCTCAATTCCTCACCCGGCAAATAGGGTGAACACTTGTAAAATTTGCAGTCAGTTTAGACTTTATGGCCTTTGAGCTGGAATCCTTGTAGGAATTTGTACTAAAGACTTTTCTCTGCTGTGTCCTCTAAAACAAGCCAAGGATATTTGATTTGCTGGGGGTTTTGGGAGGTGGTGTGGTTGGGTTTTTTTAATGATTATGCCTTCAAACCAGCTAACAGGACTTGTAAATGAATTTTTAATTGCTCCTGTAAACTGTAAGGCTTAAACACTTAGCAAGCATCCAATACTCTAAATCCATAAACCACAGGTTAGGAGTGAAGCATCCCGTTGCTCTGAGTGATATTTTTTTTTCCCGTGGTGATCTTGCAGGGCATTGTGAAGAGGGACGAGGTGGTGTTCAGGGCTGCCCGGAGCCGCGGGGTCCCCGTGCTGATGGTGACGTCCGGGGGATACCAGAAGAGAACAGCACGGATCATCGCTGACTCCATCCTCAACCTGCACAGCCTGGGGCTCCTGGGCAGGGAGCAGGCAGCCTGTGTGCTTGAGAGTCCCAGCCTGGATCACATGGTCAGAGACTCTGCCAAGGACTTCAGCAACTTGTCCCTGCAGTGACAGGTCACTGGATGTTAGTCACATAACCCAGAGGCAATACAGAGTAACTCTGAATTTATCTTGAGCTAAGACAACACATCCTTTTAAGCTAATTGAGATATGCACTCAAGGGTACTGTCTTTGTGTCTAATATTGCTGTAGAAAGCTTAATTTGCTTCTCTGTTTGGGATGAGGGGTCAGTTATGTTGGAAGAACTATGCAGTTGGTATCCAAAGACTGTCCCAGACCTGTTTCGCATGGTGCAGCATGGTCTGAGGTGGGAGGAGCATGGACTAAAGCTACTGTTAAGTGGGCTTTTTTAATACTGCATTTTATTTATTGCTTTTAAAACTGAAATACTGTTATAAAACAAGTTCTGGGCAGACTTCAACTGTCAGTTTAACACTAAAGGGAAGTGCAATACTCTAAAAGCCAGGGCAGTTTGTTTATGGCTTTGAAGCCATAGGCAGTTAGAAGGAATGTTTGTAAATTCATAGTTTATTCCTGTTTTTGCTGGTGACTGAAGTCTTGCTCATAAACACCTTGTGAAATGGGATATGAAACACCTTTGGCTCCATATGCAAATGAGCCATAAGGGCTCACCATGACCAGTCTGGTGTTCCAGGTGAGTTCTGCATGTGACAGGCAGCAGTTCCTGTGCACTGCAACTCACAGACAGAGAAAGTACAGTTCAGTGAAAGCTGATCTAGCAGTTCTCAGCAGCCCTGCAGGAAAAACTATGTAGAAATATAGGCTGTCTTCTTATTGCCAGCTTGCCGTGTACAAAACAGTGAGGAGTACATTTAAATACTTTTTCCCCAGTTCCTGCTGTGCTTTTCACTTGCTCAGAGATCAATGGTACTTCTAGTTGCAGTCATAGTTGGGAAGCAAGTCCTTCGTTATTCTTGTTCCTCAAGGAATGCAGTTGCATTTCTACACTAAGATAATGTGCTAACTTTGTATGGAGCTTTTAGGAGGATTTGGGAACAAAATAGTGTATTCAAGACAAATTCAGTTGCACTACCTGGGAAGTTTGGCTTGGTTCAAACTGGTATATTTTGCATTAGGTAATTTTTGTAGCAGGGGGTTGTAGATGTACTAAACTGTATCTTTTGCAAGAGCTTTTAGAACTCTCACTGATTCGTATTGCAAGTTTTACCTTGTGTTTAGGTTGGAGCCGTCCTGTCAGGGAGCACCAGGATTTTCCTTGTAGTAGAGTTGTTGTGTAAGCAATTTTAGGAAAGTTTAATTTTAATACTTACCGAATTTAGTGTTCATGTTTACATCATGGAATTTGTCCATTGTAGGAATTGCATAACTGCTATAAATACCTGCTTTAACCAGATCTGACCTACTGCACTAAGCTTGAGTTGCTACACTGAGATTAAAGAGCACTTTTAAATTTCTTACTAGAAGGACCATCAGAGTACGACTAATGTTGAGATTTATTTTTTCTATACTATCTGACGTTACTGGAAGATGTTGTTATTCTTTCATATAATTTTTATAAAATTCTAGATTACATTTCTATGAACTAAACCTTCATCATAGAACCATATGGTCTTCCCCCAAACATTTGTTGTTTGTGTTAACGTGTTTCTATAATTTTCCCTCAGTGGAGATTAAAATGATGTTGAACAATGCTGACTGACTTCTTGTCACTTCACGTGGATCTTGGCTGTCAAAAAGTTTTAATAGTTTCTTGAACAGACAAGAAGATGTATTTTTCATACTTAAAATGTGGCTGAAACGACTTTGAGTCTCAAGGGTGAGTAGTACAAGGTTTGTCAACAGCTTCTCTGAGAGTTCAGTGGTGACTCCTTGGAGAGGGCTTGCAAGTTTTGTGTCCAAATACATTTTAAGATGTCATTGTAAGGGGACAAAGGGGTCAAAGTCACTTTCTAACTCCCAAGTTCTATTTCATTACCTACCTTGTAAGTCCTAATGTAAGTATTTTAGTATTAGAGGTGTTAAACTGGTAACTGATCTTCTGATAAGGCTGCAGTAGTTTTGGAGGCTTTTTATAAATCTGTGTTTTTTCAGAGAGCTGAATGTTTGCAGCAGAGCCTGCTGGCTCTGAGGATCACCTGTGAAACTTCTGATAAGCAGCAGACACAATGACTGCATTTCAGTGTTTATTGTAAAGTTACAATTGGAAAATGCACCACTCCTTCATATTTTCAAAAATTTGGTGCCTTGATTCAGAAATGGAAGAACACTGTGTGTGGAATTCTATCTTTAAAAGTTCCTGTATCTTACCAGAGATATATATATATATATATATGGTATTCTGTGCTTTAGGTGGGCTCCTCTGCTGCAATAATCTCTGTTAGATGAATAAATCAGTGCACAATGCTTTCAAAAGATGCAGTTGTTAATCGTGAGCTGTTTATAAATGGACTGTATTTATAAATGTATTTATAAATGGCTGCTCATGTAGACTGTCATAAAAATTGTACAGGAGAGAGATGGCAGTGGCTGAGGATTTGGAGTTGGATAGCTGGAGAGGGTTTGAACTACCAATAAATAACTCATGGAGGGAGAGGGAAGCTGCAAAATGTAGAAGTATTTTTTTAATTTTTTTTTTTTTTTGCCAGAGGTTTCCAGAGGAAAATTGGTTTGAGCTATATAAAAAAGATACACATTTCACCAAACTATTTTAGTGTTAAAAGCCATTACATCTGTTCACATTTGCTTTGAGTGTTTTCTCATGAAGTGCAGAGCTGTGCTGCATATGACCAAGATGCACAATCTCTCAGTGTTTCTTTACAAACACAAACAGAGGCAGTGAAACTGGGTTTGACTGTGTGGGAGTTAAAGAGGAAACTACCATTGCTGTTGGTATCTGTATGTGTGCATCTCTTTATTCTGCACTGCATGGTGATGGTTTAACAGGTTTTTCCTGCCACCAAGGATTGGATTAACTCCTCCTCCTAGCAGAGAGAGGCTGATGAAGAAATTTCTTGAGATTTTTGCCACCAAATAACCTGGACCCAGCATTCCCAGGCCAGTTTACAGCTGGAAGTCCCTAACGTGTAAGCACAGGACTGAATTTAGAGAAGAATACAGGCTTGTTCCTTCTTCAGGTTTGATGAGCTTGCCTTGCTGTTTTCCAGTTCAAGGCAAATAATAGGCTTCCTTGTCCTGATGATAAAATCTGGGAGAGAATGTGTCTGATAGGAATAAGGCTCCTAATGAAGCATGTGATGGTTGAGTTGTCAGCTAATTATTTTTTCCATCTGTTACCTAATAGAGTTCTACAGTACTGGGATTTAAGGTTTGTCAGGTTTTGCTGTCTTTCACTCTAAACCTGGACATGTCTGCCAAGGCAAACAATGAAATGAGCACATTAAGATAATAAATCTCCAGTGAGGAGTCCGAGTTATTTATATTGGGTGAACAAGGCTGCAAGTAGAACTGGGGTGTCTTTTGGGTTGCTGGAAGTGGGAGTGTTTTAAGAGTTGAATACTTGCATATTCAGCTTTAGCTGTGGGAAGGTTTGGGCCTGAGACATGAAAGAATGCAGATCTTTCAAAATACGGTATGTGAGAAAAATGTATGATTTAGTGTTTCCATTTCCATAGAGGAAATAGCAATGCTCTGCTGGAACCAAATGATAAATTTCCTTTAAACTTAGTCCTACGATGACATGGGAAACAAATTCCCTCTCAAGCCCTGGCAAAGCAGCTGAGGGCAAAGTTGGGTGTCTTAGAGCCACCTGCTACCTACAGGGCATGGTTCCATTAGCCACTGAGAGGAGGATTGCACTTTTCCTCTTTTTCAAGGCTTTTTTTGACAGGCTTAGAATAAGAGATAGAAGCCTTTGTCAAATTCATGAAAAAATTATCAGAATTTGAATTGGGTTTGTGGTTGCTGCACTGTCAGACCAATTGTAAGCATTAGTCAATCTTGGACAAACCCATTTATTTTCCTTCAGCAGAGCATTGAGGGGCAGTATCATCAGTTTTTCTGGTTTTGAGCTCTGTGATACTGCTTGAAATTGCAGAATCCCAGAATGGTTTGGGTTGGAAGGACCTCAAACTCATCCAGTCCCACCCAGTGTCATGGGCAGGGACATCTTCCACTGTCCCAGCCTGGCCTTGAACTGCATGAGGTTGAGCATGTAATACATCTTTCCAACCTCACCTTGTACACACATGTGGCAGGAAAAGGCCTTTTTGGTTCTTCTGTTACTGTGAGATACATCTTGAGCTCTCTGTGTAGCACTAAACATGGAAATAACCAGGAAGAGCCTTTGATAGGACAATACAAGGAGAACAGTGCAGAATCATTCCTGGGTGCAATCAGGACTTGGAATAAATACAGCTAAAGCAATAATTATCACTGCTGCCTTTACATCTCTTAAACCTGAAGCAAAAAAGATCTTTGGGTGCTGCTTGGGGTGTTAAAAGTGTGAGGAGGACGCAAAGGGAATTCGTGGCCAGCAAGCTGCTCCTTGTGGAGCAGTCTTTGTGAGCAGTCTGCTCAGGATCACCATCTGCAGCTGCAAACAGCTGGAGCCCACAGGGAAGAGTCCTGCTGACAGTGATTGCCAGGAGTCAGCAGGACTGGTTTCAGACAGGTTTTCTCCTGGTTTGTACAAGGGATGGTTTAATCCAGTTGCATTTTGAATTAGGTAGACTCGGTTACATTGTATTGAGGCAGATGTTCATCTTCCAGTGACCCACTTAAAACCTGTTCCCACCAAAGTGTTCCTCAGTTCTGTGGGGTGATCTGTGTGCTGAGAGTCAGAAATGTCTTTCTCTTGATGTCTTGGTTTGAAAGACAGGTATTTGCTAAAAGACACAGGGGACTCTTTTTGAAAAGGAGAGCATAAACACCCCTCCCTTCACTTTACTGTGATTTTGAAATCAAAGGGCTCTCAGGCAAAGACATGGAGGTAGGAATAACAGTTCTTTACTGATAGATATAGATATATATATATATATATATATGTATATATGTAACAAGGGAAACAAAACACAACAACAATAACTGCGAGATCAACAACAACAGAGCAGAAAACCCAGTGAACAGTTCTCCCGGTTGTGGACACCTTTCCTCTGTGGTGCAGTTTCCGTTCTGGCGCTGGCTGCCAGCTCTGGGTGAGCAGGGAGGAGATGCGATGATCCCACGGGGCTGGAGGGACCCTGCGGTGAATGGCGTCTGTGTCCCAGATGGGAAGGGCGGAGGGGAGACGCTGCTCAGGAACCTGATGCTCCAAAAGGATGTCTGAGGTCGGCAGGAGATGCAGGAGAGAGAGAGAGAGCGTGTCCGGGCAGGGAGGTTGCGGGATCCCACAGCCAAGGCAGGCAGCTCCCCGCGTCGGGATGGCAGAGCGGAGTTTCTAGCGACCGTCCTTCTCCGAGCCAGACGAGCGAGAGAGCGCAGCTGAACCCCTGATCTCGCCGTGTTCCTCCTCTTTGCCCCTCCTGCCCTCATCACCAGCCAGGCTGTAGCCCGCAAACCTCTCAACATTACAATGGGGAAAATTCCACTGAGAGACCCAACCCTCAACAGTCGGCTATGGCAGAAGCAGGCAGAAGTTTCTAAGGCTGATCCTGTCAGGAATGTGCAGTCCTGGATTAGCATAACCTCATAACACACTGCAGGTTTATTGAGCAAGTATAGTAATGTGGTAAGAGATGTGGTATTAAAACGAAGCTATTTGAAATTTTATTGCATTTGCAACAGATAAAGTGCTCTGCAATGAACAACCCACAAGTGCTTGGTTTAACAAGTGCTGAGCTACTGTGTAAATCCTTCCATGGGCCCTTTCTTGGTCCGTCTCATGATGCAACATAATTGTGTGGCCAGGCTTGTTTCCAGGAAATCTCCTCTCTGGCCCTGTGGCAATCTCACCATCATCACGCTCTCCTTGCAGGGAAGGGTGAAAAAACATGGCAGTGGGAAAGATGACCAGTGTTTACAAGCAGCTGACGGGAATCCCAGCTGCTTTGGTAAGGTTGCATAACCTTGGAGTGGGAAATGCAGTGCCTGAGGAGAAGGCGATGGCAGCGAGCCTCTCTGTGGGAATGCTGTCAGATGGAGTGTTGGTATTGTGTGCATGGTCACATTTAAACCCTCCAGTCTGTCCTTGCTGAGTTCCTTGCTTATGTAGAAGGGCCTAGTGGGTTTATATTGTAATTGGAGTAAATATCTCTTGAATGCGTGTTGAATTTGGAAGTCTGACGTGGCCCAATTAAAATGTGATTAGGTTTTCTGTCTGCACTGTAGAGGCTGTCAGTGCTCTGGAGAGCCCTTTAATGCTGAAGGCTGGCCTGCTGCTTTTGGCGAAGATGCAGCTTGAAATATGCAATGCTCTGAGAAATTCCAGGACTCCTACTAGGGTCAAAAAATTTTCTCTCAACTCTAGCATTTCATCAAGTTTCCTAGTAACATGTCTCCATGTATCAAAATCCTTATTGCTTGGAAAGCCACCAACTTTGCAATGAGCTGAGAGTTTTTGTTATATGTGCTGGATGACATTCTCTAGGTAGAGAGGTCTGATTAAAACAATTTCCATCCCTCTGGTTTCAGACAGCATTTGTGTTACATTAATTCAGTTACACTGAGTATTTATCAATTAATTACAGATTAATTTAGTTACACTGTTTATCTAGTCTCATTCTGTTAACTACAGTA